TTATTTTATTTTGTGTTCTGTCTGACGACAGGTCCATATGAACAGTATCCTTCCATCCTTTTCTCGGACTGGGATCTGTTCATATACGTTCTTGGCAGATGATCGAGAAGTGGTTTGCCATTGCCTTCTTCTGTGTGTGAATGGGGTAATTGTTGGGATGCCACGGAGGAAAACTCCGTGTTGCCTAGACCACGGCCTTGCCCAACACAAGTTATAAATTCGGGCACCGCCGGGAATCGAACCCGAGACCCGGTGGCAAAGTCAAACTTACAACTCGCCTAAATCCATTCTCTCTCGTAATTCTCTTTAAGAACATGGACCACACTGGCCATACGACCCAGACAGTGGTGTAAGAATCTTTTGTAATATCATCCACCATTCGTCCTCTTCCACGTCTTTACCATAATTTCTCTCATCCCTCTCGTCATCCTTTGTTTCTGTCTCTAATGCCGCATGGCCAGTGCTGCAGTAAATCCGCGCTTGCGCGGTGAGCCGAGTCGATCGACCGACTTGTGGAATCTCCTCGGTAGTTCCTGGCGCAGTGTCACGGAGCTGGCTGTGACAGCGGGCAGCTACCATGTAGGCTGCTGGTTCACCACGTGGTCGGGGTACCCTCAAGAACATTGCTCAATGGACCTGATGCCTTCTAGCTCACAATCAGCGATAAGAGCATACAACTGTCTGTAATAACACTAGTCTTCCATTTTGTGTGTCCGAGCCATTTGTTATGAGACCGTCGCGTTATTGTCGTATTCTCCGACGCTGTGTCTTCCTCGTGGCGGGGATCACGACTGTCCCTGCAGTATTCTTGATCTTCGCTGGTGGCGAAGGGGGAGTGGACCGCCTGAACCAGCGCGCTACCCCACAACATAAGGTAACCAGAAAATAGATACACCACTGCATGGAGCACGGTCCTTGAGAAACCAACAAGAAATTCTCCGTCTTTTATGGGATCCGGGTATCCTGTTCTGAGTCACTTTAATCCATTCCAGACCCTCACATCTTATTTAAGAACAATTTTAATATTATCCTCCCATCGACACCGAAGGCTTCAAAAGAAGTATCTTCATGTTTTCCGACGAAAAATTTTTGTGCATTTATTTTCATTATTTTTCTCTCATCTTATCCTCTGATACTATCTGAAAAATAATACGAAATTCCTACAAACTAGGAAGTTCCTCATTACAAAATTTTCTCTATTCCTCTGATATTTCCCCTGTCTTCCATCCAAATATTCTTCTCAGCACTGTTTTACATTTCTGTGAATCTACGTTCTTCCCATACGGTACGACACAGAATCAGGCACAATTTTGTGGCTAAGAAATGGACTCATTTATTGCTGTGGGGGTACTTGAGAAAACATCGTTTTAACTAAATCTATGACGGATTTTCATAGGCCTACGCAACAGAATCAAATTATCACTTTCAATGTTGCAGAAATCACGCTTTAGAGCACTGCCAGATACTGTGATAAAATATATCGATTGCTCGATATGTTCTTAGTTTTCGAATAAAATCTGTGATAACGAAAGATCAAATTAACGATAAAGCTATCCGAAAAATTCGAACATAAACAGCATTTCCGCCAAATAAGTCACTTTACGCGATCTTTGCACAGGAAGAACGTACCATAAGCTGTTCTTGTCTGTCCGTTCATCTCTCCAATCGATTTATCTCGAGAACCACTACACGAATTTGAATAGAATTTGATGTGGAGGTTGTGTCATTCTGCACCCCCGCCACGTAGGGTCTGAGGGGATTCCCGCTACACCACTGGAACGAGGACCATGTTCTTCGCGAGTAGAGTACGGCACTAAATGAGACTCAGAGAACGGAAATCGAATCAAAGGCATCGACTGCAAATATCGATTAGAGGGTTAAAAATTGCTATCGGCAGGGACGTGGAAAGAGATACGGGGAGAATGTCATAAAGGGTTAAAGCCCTAAAAGATCTTAGTCCCTCGTAAGGCAGTTCAGCCACTGCTCGTTATACCCGTGAAGCTCTCAACGACCGCGATAGCTTTAACCGTGAGATATCGCTCATGTCCAACATCTGTTCTCTGTTTTCTCGCAATAGCCGAGATCTCGTTATAACCGTGATCGTTATAAAGGAGTTCAACTGTATGTGTATACCAACATGGAATACTCTTTCCAAACTTATTAAAACTGGTATTTATTGTTGTCTTAGGATTGTTTAAACAAGTAAAAACCATCAAATTATAGGATTACACGAACCTTTATCGAGACTGAAGTGGTTCGTTACTTAACCTAAAAATACCATCACAGCATCTGTATTACGGGATTCCACGGTCAGTTTACTCGACAAATTTAGAAGTTCAGACACCTATAAAGTACAAAAGTGTGAAGGAAACAACTCTTAATTTTTTTTAGTAAAGCAATATTTATAACAATAAAATGTTACTTTGTTACTCTATGAAATAAACTGTAGATCGTGTTACTTATTTTCTTTAAAATATACACACACCCCGAAATAAGGATCAAACAAGCTCGGAAAGTGCATGGAATACACATAATATCCTCATGCGTTCTTTGCAGCGTGTATTTAGAGATATTAAAACCCCCTTGTTCGATAGTTCCCAATTTAGCCACCAGATCGGAGCACCTCAATGTCCACCTCATGACTTTCCTCATCCGCCATCTTGTTATCACCGCTCGTAGGATATTGAAAATATGTTTTTGAGGTCGTGCAGAATAGCACAACCTCCACATAAAATTGTATCCAAATCCGTCCAGTGGTTCTCGAGTTGAATCGAGTGGACGGACACAACCAGACCATAATGCGTTCTCGCTATGTACTTCGTGTAACAAACGCATAATGTCCAGACCACAGTAGGAGATGACAAAGAGACCAGCTTCACTACCGGCCTCCTTTACCTTCAATGTCGTCTGGACAGACAGCAGTGTCACTGGTCGAATTCTGATCGTCTAATTCGAAGTCGAAGAGCTCACTTTCACTTAACACGTGTTACAAACAATCTCAAATTCGTCTGAAAACATTTCCGGAAATGTTTATCCGAAACTTATTTCACGACCATTGCCTTATAGTTCTAAATGTCTTTACGTGTTTTTAGTATCCGCGTATGGAGCAAATATGTCACACGGGGACGAATCAATATGGTGGCGAAAATAGTAAATGTTAGAAAAATTGCATTTATTTATTGACAGAATTAGCTAAAGCGAAGTAACTTGTGAAAAGGCGAGTTCATATGATGCAAAAATACATGTGTAAAGTCCAAATATTAGGTATTTCTCGACAAATGTGTCAATTCTGAAGGCCCCAAAACTTGACTGTTTTATTTTGTACGAACTAATCTACAATAAATCGATTTCATATCGAAAGAACATATCAGCACAGTCTGGACATATGATTTTGAAAACACAGCTTTTGTTTGTCCCGAAGAGCGTAGAATTTTCCATTATTTTGTCGCAGGGGTATCTCAAGATGTCACTATTTCTTTTTTTTCTCATAAAGTCAAGATATTCCAAACTGTTCTCTATTTCTGACAAACAGGACAACGTGTGAATGAAGTACGAAAAATACTGAATCCCAATTGGTTTGTTTCCGGAGCTGGCTCTGGAAAGTTCTGAAAAACAGCAATATTAGGCAAAAATACTGATGAACCAGTTGCTAGACTTAGTACATTCCAACATTTTCAAATTTCCACTTGTTTTGGATGTGCGTTTCTTTACAATACTTATTATTATTATTATTATTTAGTGTTCTGTCTGACGACAGGTCCATATGAACAGGATCCTTCTATCTGGGACCTGTTCATATACGTTCTTGGCAGATGATCCAGAAGGGGTTTGCCATTGCCTTCTTCTGTGTGTGAATGGAGTAATTGTTGGGATGCCACGGACGAAAACTCCGTGTTGCCTAGACCACCTCATCTTATTATTATTTAGTGTTCTGTCTGACGACAGGTCCATATGAACAAGATCCTTCCATCCTTTTCTCGGACTGGGACCTGTTCATATAAGTTCTTGGCAGATGATCCAGAAGTGGCTTGCCATTGCCTTCTTTTGATATGCACAGCAGTTAACTGTACGCGTATATTAAAGTCGGCAAATGAATCAGTTACCGCCTAGCTCTCCGCCACTCAAACCTACTTTCAAAAAGTTTTGCTTCGTTCTACTTTAACAAATAACACGCTCCTCTATCGATATTCGATAATCGATACGATTATGTAAGGTGTTACGTAGTTCCGGTCGAGTCCGCCAGTCTTACGCAACAACGGCCAATGTACTGCATAATTAAACCTCTTCCTGATTCAGAATTTAAACTTTCGTTAAGTTTAACGCCACGCAATAAAGTAATTGTTTACAAGCTAGTAGTCGCTAACTTTTACCAATAAATTACTGCCGTGTTCACAACAGCCTACCAATGGTCCATAACTCAAAGAAGATCACACCTTTTCCTTATCAAGATTCATTTTAATAGTATCCTCCCATCAACACCAACAATCCAAAGTGATATCTTCCCTTCAGGCATTTCTCGTCTCCTCAATGCGTGTTGTAATCATTGTATTCGATTTGATCACCGTAATAGCTTTTGGTGACATGCAGAAGTGCCAACTGCGGGGAATTTATTTTACCTCTAGGGAAATTCTTTGGGCCTATTCTACGCAAACCGCCAATGAAAAGTCAATTTTCTCAAGAAGGGCGCTGCTCCGTGGAATTACCTGCCTACAAGTACCGGTGACGTCAGATTTGTCAGGAGAAAATGACCACTGAGCGTCTGATTAGACAATGGCGTAATCAAGGATTTCCCAACGCGTCTGCGTGATTGGTTAGTTAATTCCCCAGGTTATCAGGATGCCTGGCACACCACTCACTTTCTTAACCATTCGTCAAGAAAACATGAAGGTTCTCCACCTGAAATATCCCTTATTGTCATTCCATCTCAACCGAAATTAGAACGAATAAAATAATGTTGGTAACACTGCGGAACAATCAAGTTTCATAAAAATCCATTCTCGAGTTGCTTAAACTGAGTACAATTATTACGAACCAAATATATCAGCATACATAATATATACATTGAGAAATAAAACCTATACTCGAAAAAAAATATATATATCGAGAAAGGGGTAGGGATTTTCAAAATCTGACTCAAAGTCTCTCTGGTGCTTTTAAAAGCACGCCTCGTCCACTTTACCCACTGAAGACGAGGCAGGTTGGGCTCCAACAGACGATCTGAACGCGACAGTTAAAAGAAAAATCCCTTGTCCGTTCCAGAAATCGAACTCCGTCGAAGCCAGTCACTGTATCGACTAAGCTACATCAGCTCTTTTGCCTTTCAAGTAACGAACATAAGCACTTTATAATAATTTTCTGGCATGCTACACATTTTCATGGTGTGACAGATGATATTCGAACAATGCGAATTTGGGAACATCCGCTTTAAAATGTTCAATATGGGATGCAGCCGTGAGCGAAGCATGCAAGACAAGTGCTGACCTCGTGCGGGCGACACTTCCACTAACATGCATCGTCTTAACCTTCACAGCGTACGGACACATCAATAGAAGAAGTTATTTCCTAGCCGCACATTCTTCACGAGTTTAAACCTTAAACCCTCTAATTATTGCAGCTTAACACCACCGGCAATTGCGGACTACGTCTTTCAATAGAGCATCTACCACCAGCGCATACAGGAAAATGGCCGGCTTTCATGGAACCGGAAGTTTCACTGCCGTGTTCAAAACAGCTCACAATTAAACCCTCAGAGACAGATCAACATAGTTCACACCCGATTTTAAGACCCACTTTAATATTATTCTCCCTTCAACGGCTAGGTCATTCAAGTAGTTTATTTCCTTTAAAATTCTGTAAGCACTTCTCTCCTTTCTA